TGCTCTTAAAACTCCTTGTATCAAGGCTTCTCTTGATATTGGGCTTCTCAATGCCTAGCCAACCCTTTCCCAAGGTGGAGGCTATCAACCAAGGAATGATCTCAGAAACAGGGGGTTAGCCAGTGAGAATCAAACCTTGGAGGCTATAGGATCATTGCCCAAACTAATCCATCCAACCCCTTAGACCTCTATTTCTAGAGCAAGAGATATTGGAGCTCTTAGTGGATCTTTTCCAGCGAATGCCATCACTTTCGTGTGGGGAGTCGCCTAAGGACTTACAAGCCAGGGGTAGTGGTCATGTAGCCTTAAGATCTATCCAAAAGAGAGAGAATCTAGATTAAGACCATAAGCTAGAAGGATTAAGCATATGAAACCTCTAATCTATCCCATCTCAAACCCTAATGGGTAACTACTCACTACACATGAATGTAAACACAAGCAAATGCAATAAAAGAGACATCATAAGAAAGAGGAGATGAAATAAACAACTTTTATTGAAATAAGCAAGTGCAAATACAAAGAGATTATCCAGGATCTAGGATTCAAGAAGCAAGAGCTTCAAGAACACAAAGATGGGATTAGATCTCTAAAAAGTAAAAGACAATAAATTAAAAGAAACTAAAACAAAATAATCTAAAGCTTGGTGGTTTTTTCGTGGCTTTTAGCCTTTAAATACAAAGAGGATTAGGTTTAGGGTCAAAGGAAAGTCAAGGGGGAAGCAACATTTTTCGGGTTTGACTTTGACTTCTCAGCTCGATCGAGTTGAAGCTTGGCCGGTCGAGTTGAGGAACTCGACCGGTTGGTCGAGTGGGGTCGAGCTGGTCTTCAAGATGGCTTCTCCCTTCTTCCTTTGCGTATCCAGTTGAGCTGCTCCATGTGCCAAGTCCCTCCATGCTCCTCATGTCCCATATGCTCCAGAATGCTCCAAAAGACCTATTTCAAAGGACCAAACATGCATATGTATGCAAATGCAACCTAAAACTAACATGAATGCATAAGAAGAGAAAAGGAACAAGATATGATGCAAATGGAAGCTAAAACTATGCAAAAGATGCATAAAAGATGTGCTAAAACTATGTAAAATGCAAGTACATCAACACCCCCAAACTTGAACTTTGCTTGCCCTCAAGCAAACAAATAGAACAAGAAAGAGATGAGGTTTGAAAATAGCTGATTCAACACTTAAAAACATGTCCTCAAAAGCGATTTGCTAAATGTCCAACTTAGAGATTCTAGAATGCAACAAGGTGAGAGATATTCATTAAGATTTAACCATGCTTATCAACATCAATCCCACTTCACAGTCACTCAAACAATGCATTCAAATCAGCAAATCCCTTTAACATTCATTAAGCAAAAACAGTGAACCAAAAACATGCAAGATCAATCAACTCATTTGGTTTCAAGGGTTTATGGGTTAAGAGACAAAGAGGGTCTCTTTTGTATGGTGGTTTAGTAACAGGGATCTCTCAAGAAAGTGGCTTTGCTTTGGCAGAAGGCTAAGTGTTAGAACCAAAGATGATGCAAGAACAGCAGCTCGAGCCGCCTAATCCTAACTCGATCGAGTTCAACACTTAGAGCTTTTTAGAACAAAATCCTAACTACCCTTTTTGGCATTTCGCCTTTGAAACTGAGGAGCTTTGCTCACTTTTCTTTTAAGAACTTCCTAGGGAGAGGCTTCTTGAGGTAACATCTAGCGGTTTGGGATTTTCTAAACACTTAGGGAACTTTTCTTTCTTTTTGACACTTGAGGCTTTGCCTTCTTTTCATTCTACTTAGAACCCTTTTTACTTTCCTTTTTTAACTTCCCAAACCTTTACTAGACCCTTTTTAACACTGCCAACTCCCTGGACTTAACTAAACTCTTTTTCCTTTGGGTTTTTCCCAACTTTTACCACTTTTCTGGTTTTTACACCCAACTCGATCGAGCTCGAGTTGGCACCCCCAAACTTAGCCTGAAAACAATCCCAAGAGAACTAGACATAGAACCTCAGTGCCCCCCAAAGAACTGGGAGACTAGGTCGTGGTCTGGAGATGGTAGACGGCCATCAGGAGCACTCCATCAACTGGGTTGCCTCACTCGATCGAGCTTGTGGCTCCTCTTCCTCTCTTCTTCATCTTCAAAGTGTGTGGCTTCCTTGGCCTTGGTGGAGCATTGGCTAGCTCGAAGCTGTATAGGGGTTCCATCTACTGGGGAAGTCCTGGTAAGGCTGGGATCGTACTCGAAATCCCGGATCCTCAAACTGGGGCTCCTCCAGGTCAACTCGACCGTCAGCTCGATCGAGTTGAGTTTCCTCTGTTTGGACTCGATCGAGTCCGGTGGTCGAGCTGGAGCGTCTGGCCTTGGAAGTCTTCCTCCTTCTCTGCGTGTTGTCTTCTCCTTCCCTTGGCTCGAAAGAAGAGGCTCTGTGAGGCTCTTGGGCAGGGAGCCTCCTTGGAGTGGTGAGGAGATCTACTCCTAAGGAATGTGGGGGCCTTGGACTTCTTCTTCTTGCTTGAAGAACCAGAAACCTTCTTCTCCAAACTTTTGATCTTGCTCACCATCTTGTCCATGGACTTTTGCATCTTCTCAATGGCTTTCCCTTGCCATTTGTTGAACTTTTGGAGAAGTCCAATCCTCTTGTGGCAGCCACAACAGAGGGGTTCATCCTTGGAGCCTCATACTCCTCAAAGTAATAGCACTCAGGCTCACCCAAATCCGCACTCTCCTGGACCTGATCTTCAGCTCGATCCTCAGCTCGATCCTCAGCTCGAGACTCAGCTCGATCGAGCTCAGGCTCCTCTTCTCGCAAATCCCTCATGCCCAACTAATGTGTACACAGGGGGTCTGAAGTCAATGTTCTCACCCCTTACTACTGTGGTGAGCTCTGGGTTAGGGCAGGAGAAACTTGGAGGGTCCAACCAATGGATGTGTGAACTTGAATTGGAACTCCCATCCAACTCCTTGTGCTCAATGAGAAGGTTGGTCTTGCAAAACTTGATGTCCATCCAACCTGGTTCAGTGGCTCTCCTATCAGTTGGGTTCACTCCAGCAGCACACAAGATAGGAGTGATGAGCCCTCCAACACTTAGGCGCCTCCCTCGTTGATGTCTAGTGTTGTAGGCTGTGATCTTGTAGGTAGGAGATGGTCAAGGAAAGGCATCAAGTTCCTGTGTCAGATCTATCTCCCCTTATCCTCTTGCCATCGCTTGTGCGTGAGAGAATGGGCTTGATTCCCATGTCAAGAAACTTGAGTTCCCCCTCGTTGATGGTCCCGGTCGCCTTCCTTGCAAAGAAGGTGTTGGCAAGTGCCTTGTGCACATACCTCAAGACTGGGCTCCTGATCTGAGCTGCCTTGGACCTTGAGGAAGAGTACACTCCATCAGCGATTGTAGCCCAAACCCTTTGGAGTTCCTTTCCTTGAAGTTCCACTTGGTACCCTCTCCATAGTTGAACCCAAACAAGATTTCCAGCTGCCTAAAGGTCACCATTCTCTTCTCTCCCTTAGCCAAGAACGTGATCCATCCCAATCCTTGGTCCAAATCAGCTCTATCTTCCTCTTCATACATGTGGTACCTCATTGAAGCTAAGAACTCGCAAGTGAGCTCCTTGTAGGATTCCATGTGATAAGAGAAGAAGCTTGGCCAAGTGCATGTTCTTGAGAAAGCTCCACATCTTCAAAGATTCCAAGGGCCTTCATTGTGTCAACATGTGGGTACTTGGTATCCATGAAGTCCATGGAGAAGAGAGCATTGTAATGCTCTTGGTACATAGGGAGTTCTTCTCCTCCTCTTGCTCTCTTGTGGCTCAACTCCTCCATAGGTTCATCTTGGTTACTCTTGCTCACTTCTTCAACCAACTGATTCACCTCTTCTCCTTCCTCTTCACTCTCAGTCTCATCACTCCTTCTTCACTTGGAGAGCCATTTCCCTCCTCTTGAACAAGGTTCACTCCAATCTCAAACTCCCCTTGCTCACTCTCACTACTAATGGGGTCATTCCTCTTCTTGGTCCTCCTCTCCTCCCTCAATCTCTCTCTCAGATTCTTCCTCAGAGTACACATACTCCTCTGCATCAGACTCTTCCATCCTTTGAGTCATCCTCTCCAAATCGGCTTGCATCTTAAGCCTTCTTTCCCTTGCATTGCTTGATTCACCCTCAACCATTCTCCTCTGTGAAGCGCGACTTCCCTCACTGTTTGTCATCTCTGTTACACTGTTTCTTCACTAAAGTACCTGAAATGCATCAAAGATTACAAAGAATTAGAGTTGCAATGATCGGTTTGGTCAACTCGACACTCAGCTCGATCGAGTCAAAAAACTCGAGTGACAAACTCGATCGAGCTAGGTGAAAACAGAGTATAACCGAACCTAATTCAAGTATTAAGAGCTGGAAAGGATGCTAATCAATCAAATTGAACCAAGAACAACTAGTAAATGGAACAATGAGCAATTCTAGTGAAGCACTAAGCATCTTAACCAATACCAAACTCAAATTCAATTTTTCAAGCACATGCAACAAGTTCTAATGAAAACAGAGGTGAGGTGAGGCAAATTCACGTAAACAAATATGAAGCAGGAGAATGAAAGCAATTACTCAAGAATAATCCCAAGGGGCACATGCAATCAAAAATCAAAGAGAAACAAGCAATAATGGAAATCGAGATGGAGGAATCAAGGGTTTAGGGTTCATACCTTGTTGAATGATGAATTGAAGAGCAGTAAACTAAAACCCAAGCAAAACAATGAAGAACAAGAGGAAATCGCAAAAACTTAAGAGAGAGAGGAAATTCGAAATTTTTCTTGTGGTGAAGAGAGAGAGATGATTTCAGAAATTTTAAGTGTGGGAGAGTGGAGAAGTGGGTTCGATCGAGTTATGGGGAAGAGGGAGTGTTTGAGATGTGTGGTTGAGATTAAAAGGTGAAATAAAGAGGGGACAAAAGCTAGGGTTTTTCTGATCAATTAGGGTAGTGGGGGACCAAAATCAGCTTGTGGGACCCACTCCCTTGACCAAGAAAACGGTTATGAATTTGAAATTCAAAAACTTACCTCGGTCGAGTTGTGGAACTCGATCGAGTTGCCCTGTTTCTAGCTCGATCGAGCTGTCGGTCGAGCTGGCTCCTTTGTCACCTAAACTTAACTTATTGAAAGGTTAAAACACATAAAGATAGATAGAAATTGCATAAATAGAATATGTACAAGGATAAACATGGGACTTCCTCCCAAGTGAGCTTGTTTAAGGTCCCATAGCTTGACCTTTACCTTCTTAGGCATTGGTTGAGCTAGTCCCACCATCAAGGGTGATAGTGAGGACTTGAGACAGAAGCTCCTTTAGCTTGGTTGGGTCCCTGGATTGTTCTGAAGTCACCAAGGCTTTGGCTCTAGAGAATGGCCTTGATCTCCCCTTGTACCTTATCTTGTACTCAATCTTCCCATTTTCAAACTTGGTGGGGAACAAAGTCATTGTGAGCTGAGATGGCTTGATGAAGGGGCCTGAGCTGGTGGATCTTTTCTTTTATCCCTGGTCTTGCCTTAGAGGCTACATCCTCCCCTTCTTTTAGAGCCCTTCCTAGTGGCTCATCAAACAAAGCTTGAAGGCTTTCTTCATCAAGCACACAAGGGGCTTGAACAAGTCTATCAGCTCGTGGTCCTATCAGAACGTGGTTTCTCAACTCTAGCCCTCTCAAGACGTGGCTTCTCAATCCTTGGTCCTCTCTCATCCTTATCCTTCCCAACTCTTGGTTCTTTGTCAACCCTTTCCTTCACAACCTTTGTAGCTCCATGACTCTTAGAACTGAGAGTGGTACTGTCAATTGTGGCACAAAAGTCTGAACCTCTAGGCTGCAAGCGATATGACACCAAACTATTCACCTTGTGAAGGATCACTTCTTGCTTGTGAAAGTCTATTGAAGCGCCAACTGTACTAAGGAATGGGGTTCCCAATAACAGAGGTAGATCCTTCTCTTCTTCCATTTCCATCACAGTGAGATCAGTTTGGATGATGCATTCTCCAATTTTCAAGTGATAGTTCTTGAACACTCCAAGAGGAGACTTAGAAGTTGCATCTCCAAACATGATTGAAGTAGTAGGGCGCTGCAAGGCTCCAGCAATGCCTAGCTTCTCTGCCATGGAGAGAGAGATCAGATTGATGCTTGCTCCAGAATCCACTAAGGCATTGTCAATCTCAAGATGCCCAAGTGTGCAAGGGAGAGTGAATTTCCCTTGATCCTTGACCTTTGGTAGGAAGGTGGGTGAAGTAAGCAGGTTGAACTGATGAGTAGACTCTTGTAGGACCTCTGAAACTTTATCACTGTTGGCTAGAACATCCTTGACCATTTGCATTTGATCAAATGCCTCACTCATGCTATCCATAGGAGGCAACTCAATTCCAATCCCACTGAGATCTCTTCTGAACTTGTGAATCACTTCCTTGTGACCTTGACTAAGTAGGCGAGACGAGGAAGCGGCAACCGGTTGGTAAGGATCAAGCAAAACAGGCTGGGACAGAAGAGGTCGGACTCGATCGAGCTAGAGTTGGACTCGATCGAGCTGCCGATCGAGCTTGTTGTGCGAGCTCAACTGGTGAAGTGTGAATGGCCACAGTAGGTGCCTGCACTTCTGGTTGATCAATCTGGACTCCAGGAGCCTCAGCAGCAACAATCTCTTCATCATTCAGCAGTAAACAAAAATCTTCAATGACCCTTTCTTGATCCTCTTCTTCAACAAGTCCTTCTTGAGTGAAGATGACCTTGCACTGTTCCTTGGGGTTCTGAATAGCTTTACCAGGTAGTTGTCCTTGCTTTGTAGCAGCAGCAACAGAAGAAGCATGATTCTCCAGAGAGTAAACCCTTGTGTTGAGGTTCTCGATCTTAGAGTTTATTTCAGCTAGCTTCTTGCTTGTGTCCACTACCCCATCAGCTTGCCCTTGAAGTAGTTGCTTTAGCATTGCTTGAGCTCATTCTCTTGTGAAGGTGCAGGCTGGGGCGGTTGGTGGGGGAAGCCTGGTGGGATATTCATTTGTTGTCCAGGGAAAGTGCCTTGTGGTCCTTGGTAATTGTTCTTTTGACCATACCCATGTTGTGGCACCTGACTCGATCGAGCTGCTTGTTGTTGAGGATATACTTGGTCCTGAGGGTTAGCAACATCAGTGTTGCGGTATGACATGGCAGGGTTGGACTTGTAATTATAGTATCCTTTGTTGTAACCTCCTTGCCCATTGCTCATGTAGCACACCTCAGCAAATTGTGTATCCTCCCCTTCTTGGACTGGTTCCATCTCCTCAGCAGACACAAAGTTGACTTTCTTCATTGTGGACTGAGCTAGGATCAGCTTATCCAACTTCTCATTCAATGCCTTAACATCTTTTCTCAACTTTTCGTCTGACTCGATCGAGTGGTGGGTCGAGCTCCGATTGGTGCGATCATACTCTTCTCCATAGCTTCCATTTGAGTTAGCTATGTTCTCCACAAGTTGCCAGCCATCATCTACATCCTGGTTGAGGAAGTTCCCATTGCTAGCTGTGTCTAGCATCTCCCTATACCTAGGCAAGCATCCTCTATAAAGAGTGGAGAGTAGTGATTCATTGTTGAATCCATGGTGTGGGCACTGACTTGTGTAGCCTTTGAACCTCTCCCAAGCCTCTGCGAATGTCTCATTGTTTCGCTGGATGAAGCTGGATATCTCTCCTCTAAGCTTGGCTGTGCGACCGGTGGAGAAAAACTTAGCAAGAAAGGCCTTCTTGCATTCATCCCAAGTGGTGATTGTGCCATGGGGCAAGCTCTTCTCCCATTGGTGAGCTTTGTCAGCTAGAGACATAGGAAAGAGTCTCAGCTTGATGGCATCTTCAGAGACACCATTGATCTTTGTCAAATCACAAAGCCTATCAAACTCATCAAGGTGGTCAATGGGGTCTTCACTTGGCAATCCATGGAACATCTTGTTCTGGACAAGGTTGATCATTCCCAGCTTGATCTCAAAGTTGTGGTTCTGCACTGGTGGTGGAACAATCCCTTGTCTCTGTTGGTGGCGGTTTGGAGCATCTCCAAACCGCCACCAACAGAGACAAGGAATTGTTCCACCACCAGTGCAGAACCACAACTTTGAGATCAAGCTGGGGATGATCAACCTTGTCCAGAACAAACATTATCACTGTTGGCTAGAACATCCTTGACCATTTGCATTTGATCAAATGCCTCACTCATGCTTTCCATAGGAGGCAACTCAATTCTAATCCCACTGAGATCTCTTCTGAACTTGTGAATGTGACCTTGACTAAGTAGGTGAGACGAGGATGTGGCAACCGGTTGGTAGGGATCAAGCAAAATTGGTCTTGGTACAGTAGACGTCGGGCTCGATCGAGCTTGTTGTGCGAGCTCAACTGGTGAAGTGTGAAGGACCACAGTAGGTGCCTGCACTTCTGGTTGATCAATCTGGACTCCAGGAGCCTCAGCAGCAACAATCTCATCATCATTCAGCAGTAAACAAAACTCTTCAATGACTCTCTCTTGATCCTCCTCTTGAACAAGTCTTTCTTGAGTGAAGATGACCTTGCACTGTTCCTTGGGATTCTGAATAGCTTTACAAGGTAGTTGTCCTTGCTTTGTAGCAGCAGCAACAGAAGAAGCATGATTCTCCAGAGAGTAAACTCTTGTGTTGAGATTCTCGATCTTGGAGTTTATTTCAGCTAGTTTCTTACTTGTGTCCACTACCCCATCAGCTTGCCCTTGAAGCAGTTGTTTTAGCATTGCCTTGAGCTCATTCTCTTGCGAAGGTGTAGGCTGGGGTGGTTGGTGGGGGAAGCCTGGTGGTATATTCATTTGTTGTCCGGGGAAAGTTCCTTGGGGTCCTTGGTAATTGTTCTTTTGACCATACCCATGTTGTGGCGCTTGACTCGATCGAGCTGCTTGTTGTTGAGGATAGACTTGGTCCTGAGGGTTAGCAACATCAGTGTTGCGGTATGACATGGCAGGGTTGAACTTGTAATTATAGTATCCTTTGTTGTAGCCTCCTTGCCCATTGCTCATGTTACACACCTCAGCAAATTGTGTAACCTCCCCTTCTTGGACTGGTTCCATCTCCTCAGCAGACACAAAGTTGACTTTCTTCATTGTGGACTGAGTTATGATCAACTTATCCAACTTCTCATTCAATGCCTTAACATCTTTTCTCAACTTTTCGTCTGACTCGATCGAGTGGTGGGTCGATCTCCGATTGGTGCGATCATACTCTTCTCCATAACTTCCATTGGAGTTGGCGATGTTCTCCACAAGTTGCCAGCCATCATCTACATCCTGGTTGAGGAAGTTCCCATTGCTAGCTGTGTCTAGCATCTCCCTATACCTCGGCAAACATCCTCTATAAAGAGTGGAGAGTAGTTCATTATTGAATCCATGATGTGGGCACTGACTTGGGTAGCCTTTGAACCTCTCCCAAGCCTCTGCGAATGTCTCATTGTTTCGCTGGATGAAGCTCGATATCTCGCCTCTAAGCTTGGCTGTGCGACCGGTGGAGAAAAACTTAGCAAGAAAGGCCTTCTTGCATTCATCCCAAGTAGTGATTGTGCCATGTGGCAAGCTCTTCTCCCATTGGTGAGCTCGAGTTAAGGGTCGAGTTGACGTAAAAACAGAGTAAAAGCGATTAAGGTAAGAACTTTATGAAGCTAATGCGAATGTTAGGGTCTAAGACGGGGTCATACAACTAGGGGAAGACTATACTTAATCAATCTTGCTATTAAACAACTTGCATCAGGCTATCTCTTGGCATTGAGCTTCTCAAGCCTAGCTAGCCCTTTCCCAAGGTAAAAGCTATATCCAAGGCAAGATCTCAGAAACAGGGGGTCAGCCATTGAGAATCAAGCCTTGGAGGCAGTAGGATCATTGCTCAACCTAACCCATCCAACACCTATGAACTCCATTTCGAGAGCAAGGTTTATTGGAGCTCTTAGTGGACTTGATCAAGCGATTTCCACTCATTCTGAAACAACCAACATTTTTTTTAAATAAATAAATAAATACTAATCAATTCAAGCGAAGGTCATAAATTAAATAGATAAATATCAAATGACAATAATAAATCAGTTCAGTGGAAGCAAATAATAATTAGACAAGTCTAGCAAAACAATGCAAAATAAATAAAAACAATAAATATCCTATCATCCCCCTCTTCAGCCTTGATTCCGCAATCACACAAATCTTTTACCTCCAACACTTTGGAATGGAGTTGCGTAAATATTTAATAAATACTTAGTGAGGCAATCACTCTGCCTACAGGACAATTACGCAATTTACTAGACATTTAAATAATTATTATAAACTCCAATAATTATTAGATTCCATTTTTCCAATTATTAAATAATTCTTAATAATTAAAACTCAATTTCTCAATTATTAAATAATTATCATAATTAGATAATAATTTTCCATATTTTAATATAATTAAAATCATTATTTTAAACCATTTAATTAATTAAATACCAAATATTTAATTAAATACCACATTAAACCAAATCCAATTGAACTAAACCAGCCAATTTCAATTAAACCAATTAAATCGACTTTAACCAGAGTTAACCGGTTTGTGTCGACCGACACCAGCTTGGTGTCGACCGACACTGATTCTGGAAAAACCCAGATCGGGCTATGAACAGTACCCGAAACTTGCAATTCACAGGAAATCAATCAAACAACCACAAACACTGAATCAAACATCAATATCATCACAAAATCACCATAGAAACATATACAGATCCTAAATCTAGCAATCACGGACCCACAGTCATGCACTCAACTCAGATTTTTGGATTAAAAAAAGAGGAAAACGAAGGGAGATGAAGAAGCACAACAAAGTCGACAAAGAACACCGCCGAAACCACCACGCAGCAGCCGCCACACAAACCCAAGCCTCCAATAGACGATGAACGGCCTTGGATTGAGCTCATAACACCGAAATCGCCTCCAGTTCTCTTCTCCTTCACGTTTTGCTCACTAAACGACAAAAACAGAGGAGAAGGAAGACGGCTGCGCAGGTTTTAACACTAGGAATAGGGTTTCCAGCCCAAACCAGCCTAAACCGGAAATCGATTTCATTTAAATCGAACCGGAATTGCGAACCAGAGCTGGTGTCGACCGACACAAACCTGTGGTGTCGTTCAACACTCGATCAAAACGGCACTTTTTTGGTTTACGAATGTTACAACTCTCGCCCACTAAACTGGATTTGTCCTCGAATCTCAAGTCCAAACGTCAAAAAGACCACAAAAACCCGACCTCGCAAGGCCGCAACACTGGAGATCCTCACCTGATCCCCGAGACTCTCATCTAATCTTGTGTTATACGCCCGTCTCTAGAGATCTTACTCTTAACTCATCACCTCAAACCACTTGTACTGGGGCCACTACACCCAGGGGCTTGGCAACCGCTGCTTATACTGGGGCCACTACACCCAAATAAGTCAGCCATGACTTATACTGAGGCCACTACACTCAGTTAAGTCACTCATACTGAGGCCACTACACTCAGATGAGTCTGCCGGAGAACCACTGTCTCCAAAACCGTAATGAGTTATTCAGGATCGCAATCCTTAGAGTAAAAATTCCAAGACGTCTATAACAATAGGATTAGAACTGTCTCACGACCAACTGGACAAACACTTGTAACATCCGAAATACCATTAAACAACACAGGACAAAAATGAGGAACAACTGCATCTCATTAAAACTCCAAAATGTATATCGTTAACACCAAACGAAAATACAAGTACAAAGCTCAAAAGCTAAAGACATTTCCTCAGCATCGACACATGAAAAACCTTGTGAAAGGCTTTCATAATCTCAGGCAACTCCAGCCTGTAAGCTAATGGCCCAACTACGCTCCACTACTGGAAACGGACCCATAAATCGCGGACTCAGCTTGTTCTCTGCTATGGATCTGTTAGGACCCCTCAACATAGCCATCTTGAGATAAACTCTATCTCCAACCTGAAACTCAAGCTCTCGTCTGCGTCTATCTGCATAACTCTTCTGCCTATCCTGAGCCTCCTTCATGTTCAGCCTCACAACACGAACCTTCTCTGTCGTCTCCTGAACATAAGTAGCTCCATACATGCTGCGCTCCCCCACTTGGGTCCAGCATAGGGGTGTCCTACATGGCCTCCCATACAAAGCCTCAAATGGAGCCATGCCAATACTCGCCTGAAAGCTGTTGTTGTATGCAAACTCAACTAAGCTTAGGTGATCTGCCCAATGGCCACCCCAATCCAACACACACATCCTCAGCAAATCCTCCAAAGTCTGAATAGTCCTCTCTGACTGACCATCTGTCTGCGGATGATAAGCTTGTACTCAGATGCACCTTAGTGCCCATCTCTGCCTGAAACGCCCTCCAAAACTCTGAAGTGAATCTGGGATCACGGTCTGACACAAGAGAAAATATGTTTAGGGTCAAAGGGGAGTCAAAGGGGAAGCAACAATTCTCGGGTTTGAGCCTCAGATCCTCACCTTTTTGGTTTACGGATGTTACACATTCGCATGAGGAAAATCGCCTAAACTCATACACACCATGGTCAGTGGTTATGTAGCCTTAAGCTTAGTCCAAAAGAGAGAGATTTCTAGACTAAGACCACAAGCAATAAAGATTAAGCATAAGGATCCTCTAATCTAGCCCATCTTAAACCCTAAATGGAACTACTCACTACACATGAAGGAATACACAATCAAATGAAATGAAATCGACATGGAAAGATAGAGGAGATGAAACTAAAGAACTTTTATTGAAATAAGCAAGTGCAAATACAAAGGGAAATAGCATAGATCTAAGGTTCAAGGAGCATGAAGCTCAAGAACACAAAGAGAGGCTTAAGAGTTGCAAAAAGTAAATTACAAGATTAAAGAAAAGCTAAAATAAAAATAAGCTAAAGATTGTTGTCTTTTTCGTGCCTTAAGGTAACATCTAGGGGTTTGGGATTTTCTAAACACTTAGGGAACTTTTTCTTTTCTTTTGAACACTTGAGGCTTTGCCTTCTTTTCTTTACTAGTTAGAACCCTTTTTTCTTTCTTTTTTATACTTCCCAAACCTTTACTAAACAACATGGAGAGGCTTCTTGAGGTAACATCTAGCGGTTTGGGATTTCTAAACACTTAGGGAACTTTTCTATTTTTTTGGACACTTGAGGCTTTGCCTTCTTTTCTTTACTACTTAGAACCCTTTTTTCTTTCTTTTTTATACTTCCCAAACCTTTACTAGACCCTTTTAAACACTGCCAACTCCCTGGACTTAACCAAACTCTTTTTCTTTGTTTTCCCAATTTTTACCACTTTTCTGGTTTTCACACTCAACTCGATCGAGCTCGAGTTGGCACCCCCAAACTTAGCCTGAAAACAATCCCAAGAGAACTAGACAACTAGAACTACTGCCCTGCCGGTTTAAACACAACACCTTATGCTAAGCAAAGCCAAGAAAGGTTCTCACAATTCGCACAAGAGATAATAAGGGGTTTGAAATGAAAAAGGCTTAGGTTTAAGGTGGGTAACTGTCTCAAAGATGGAGATCAGCTATCTGGACAAGCAAGAGGGATATGAAATAGGCAAAGAATGTCCAGATATGTATGTGGTAGCCATGAGTTGAAATCAAATGCAAGCATTGGTAATTAAAGATCAAGTTATGGTTCAAATAGATAGGGAAATGCATCAAATCACAGCAATGGTTGAATGAGATGTGCATGCAGCGATATGATCAAGTTAAACATGGTTCTTGCTGCTCAATCAATCTCACCCTAATGCACAAAAGAATCTAGAAATAGGGCACTCAAAAATCGCAAAAGATGGACAAGTTTTCAACAATGCACAATCAAAATGCAAGTGAAAAATGCAATCCTAAACAAATCTAACAAACATGAATGCAAAAAGATGAAAATATTTTTGGATTTTTTGAAAATTTTATGATTTTTTTGTGTTTTTCTATGCAAATATGAATGAAAAACTAAGAACAAAGAAAACAAGGTTAAATCATCTCTTGAACCCTCCCCCAAACTTAAATCACACAGTCCCTTGTGTGAAAAAATTCAAAGAAATATTCAAGAGGGAAAAACAAAAAAAAATGCAATCTTTGTTTTCTTGAAGCTCTTGCTTCTTGAATCTTAGATCCTGGATTATTTGCTTTTTATTTGCACTTGCTTATTTCAATAAAAGTTGTTTAATTTCATCTCCTCTTTCTTATGATGTCTCTTTTATTGCATTTGCTTGTGTTTACATTCATGTGTAGTGAGTAGTTTCCCATTAGGGGCTGAGATGGGATAGATTAGAGGATCTTTATGCTTAATCCTTCTTGCTTATGCGCTTAATACCATAGATCTCTCTCTTTTGGATAAGTCTTAATGCTACATGACCACTACCCCTGGCTTGTATGCCATTAGGCGATTCTCCACACGAAAGTGAATATGTACAAGTTCACTTGGGAGGAAGTCCCATGTCTATTCTTGTACGTATTCTATTTATGAAATTTCTATCTATTTTCGTGTCTTTAACCCTTCAATAAGCTAAGTTTAGGTGACAAGGGAACCAGCTCGACCGATAGCTCGATCGAGCTAGAAACCAGGGTAACTCGATCGAGTTCCACAACTCGACCGAGGTAAGTTTTCAAAAATTCAAATTTCTAACCGTTTTCCTCGGTCAAGGGAGTGGGTCCCACAAGTTAATTTTGGCCCCCCCACTTTCTGAATTTGATCAGAAAAACCCTAGCTTCTTGTCCCCTCTTTATTTCACCTTTTGATCTCAACCACACATCTCAAACAACCCCTTTCCCCATAACTCGATCGAACCCATCTCTCTCTCCCACACTCATATTTTTCTGCAACTCATCTATCTCTCTCTCTCATCACTACAAGAAATCCGAATTTCAAGCTTTCTCTCTCAAGTTTTTGCGATTTCTATTGTTGCTCTTCTTGTTTTGCTTAGTTCTAGCTACTGTGATTCTTCAATCATCATTCAAGCAAGGTATAAACCCTAACCCTCTGAATCCTTCATCTCGTT